CTCAATACGACACTCCGACGAACATTAAAGTACTGTTTGGTTAAATTATTCCTTTAATACAGCATGTTTATGGTATAAAGATAAAGAAAACTGACAGAACGTTAAGACTAACGATTTTCAAAGTCGTCGGTCAAGCCAAGCTGCACCAGCTCATGCAGTTTTGAATGGGTAATCGTTTATGCTTATGGCATTAGTTTGTTGAGTAAAGTTTCACGTCGTTTACTCTGAAACTGAGAGAATGCTATCGTCGTGCTATAATGGTAAACAGCCTGCGTAACAGATCTTTTCTCCCTACCCCTAGAACTAGATATTAAACATTTGCTTAAGTAACGTTCTACATAAATCAACGTTAAGAAAATTACGTTCAGTATATATATATATATATATTACAACAGTACATTCGACTAGTTATTTAAATTTAACTTTGTTTACAATAATGATATTTTAAAGTACTTTCTTTTTAATTTACGATTCTACTATAAATGACTCTTAGTGTAATTCATTAACTCTGTTGTTTTGTTTGTTTGTTGAACTTCACGCATGGCTACTCGAGAGCTATCTGCATAGTCATACTTAAGTTAAAAAACAGCTAGTCAACACCACCCAGCGCCCACTTTTGGGCTACTATATTCGAATCGTGGAATTAACTATCACATTTTAACGTGCCCACTACTGAAAGAGCGCGCATGTTCAATGACAGGTTTGGAACCCGCGACTCACACATTGCGAGTCGAGTACTCTGACCACCTGGCCATGCCAGGCTCTTTCATTAGTTTTAAAGAGTGTTATCATAATATTATAATCACATAATGTCTGGTCAAATATTCTTTTCTGTAGCCTACTTAGGCAATCATAACATAACTTTTTCAATGCTTCATGCTACAGGGTATACTTCCCGTTTGAGTTTGTGTGGCACTGAAAAGGCAATACATGCTGAAGACAATTTATTCTAATATGCTCATTATAGAATCATTAAACTGACTATATCTCAGTTATGCGAATATTTCACGATTACAAATATATCGCGACACAATAGTGATACTTCCGTCTACAATAGAGGAATGTTTGACAATAGTTGAGTCACATATGTATTTATTGTAAAAATATATCGCGACACAATAGTGATACTTCCTTCTATGGTAGAGGAATGTTTGACAATAGTAGAGTCACATGTGTATTTATTGTAAAAATATATCGCGATACAGTAGTGATACTTCCCTCTATGGTAGAGGAATGTTTGACAATAGTAGAGTCACGTGTGTATTTATTGTAAAAACATTTATGTAGTTCTATTTGTATTTTTGGCATGTTTTATGTGTTCAGAGAAGTGATATCTCTGTTAATAATGGTGACTGCGGTAGAACCAAGATGGTATTTTCATGTGACAGAGACTCATATATTAATCTCCAGTAAAGTTGTACCTGTCTCTGGAAAAGATAAAGTTGGATACTGTTAAAATATATCTATATGTAGAAAAGATATACGTATGTGTATGCTATAGAGATGCAAATGCCCTACGTAAAAATCCGTTAGCAGACGTTTTGAAAAATGGCCGGACATTCAGTATGAGATATGGGCTAAACAGAAAGTTCAACCCCTATTCATAAATAATTTTAAGAGCGGTGTATGATAAAGTACTGTGTCAAGCTTTCTCGCTAGAAGATAGCCCTAAACCACAGAATATTTAGTTGTCAGTTTCTGTTGAAAGTGACCACGTTCCGTCAGTGCAGCTGACATAAAAAAGGGCAGCGTTAACAGAAAAGTTCTGATGATACTGGCTGTAAATTCCCTTAACGCCATAAAAGAAGCTTTATGTTTCTAAGATAATGTCATTATTCTTCTTACTGACCTACATTACTTGTTATGCAGTTTGAATGTGCTTGTGCTTTGACTTAAACTGCATCTCACAGATACCGTTACATTAGTTGAGGAAAACAAATTACATGCATGTTAACGTAAACCATCTGACTGAAAATAAATGATATAACCACGCCCCTTGAATTGAAGTTTTACACTATTAATATTTATAAACTTTCAAAAGTCTAAAACATTAGCATGTCTATATTCGCCTCCACAACTTTTGAATTAAAAAGAAAAGCATAAAAACACAGAGATTTCCTTGTAACACTAAGCTTGTGTCTGTAGATGTGTTCAGTAATTACTCTCAGATATGGATGGGAGTAATGGAACGGAACAACAGTTCAACTGTTACCACAAGTAAAGAACATTGTATAGTGGTACTACAACGTTTATCTCGATACAGTTGAGTTATGTTGTTCCTTTCGTAACTATATTAAATAAGTACAGACAGACGGACAGACAAACAAATGGGAACTTTAATGTTTACGGCCCGGCATGGCCAGGTGGTTAGGGCGCTCGACTCGCAATCTAAGGGTCGCGGGTTCGAATCCCAGTCCCACCAAACATGCTCGCCCGTTCAGCCGTGGGGGCGTTATAATGTGACGGTCAATCCCACTATTCGTTGGTAAAAGAGTTGGCGGTGGGTGGTGATGACTAGCTGCCTTCCCTCTAGTCTTACACTGCTAAATTAGGGACGGCTAGCGCAGATAGCCCTCGAGTAGCTTTTGTGCGAAATTCCAAAACAAACAAACTTTAATGTTTTGTTCTTTCTAACCGTGAAACTTAAGAAACGTGTTTGTTTACTCTAACTCTTTCTGTTAAAATCAAGAAATCTAGTTCAAAGTTTCCACACAAAGTAAGTCTAGGTACGTATACCATAACAAGTATCCGCAATGCCGGGCTTAAAAATTAATGCTATAAATGAGGGCATGTGCCTTCCCTCCCCTTCCACAATTTCGAGCTACAACACACTAATTGTTCGTCTGATGCAAAGGTAACCGCGCTACGCGCCACATTAAACGCCCTTTTCGTTTGGCGTCGGCTTCACGTACTTCGCTACCGACCTCCTAACTGAGGTGAGCCTTTATTCGCGGCAGTAAGCCGGTCAAATTTAATTGACTGCCAAATCGAATCGTTCTTCGAATTGCTGATCCATCTGAGCTTGATCTTTGGAGTATTCATCCGGGGCTTTCTACCAGATTTCATCCAGATTGCAACAGCCAGCTTCTCATAACATTTAGTGACACGAGACAGACAGACAACCAATTCAACTTTACATAACTATATATAGATGTGGCAATAGACAACAAGCGTTTGAATCAGTTCGTGTTTTGATGCTACCATCATCTTTCCTAAACTAATCTAACTCGCAACAAAAATTCTGATTGCAACACACACGCGAGGCTTTATTACAGTCATTACCACCAAACAACTAGCCACCCTTCTGTCCATCACGGTCTAAATAATTGCTTTGATTAGAGCTGAGCGTTGTAAACATCTTCGCGTGCCGGAGCATACAGCCCTTCCTGTCATATAATCGAGTACTGAACCATGTTTCTCTTACGTCTGATATTATTACCCAAATCAACAAGATGCCCTTCAAATCTACCGTAATATGCCATAGTGATCGTTATTCTACCTACAAGCTGATAGTGAGAACAGCAACATTATCACAACCGTTGAACTAAAACAAGACAAGATATTGGAAATGTTTGAAGACACATACTAATGTTTAGGATATCTATAGCCATAGATATATTGCAGCCAGCACTACATCCCTTGTGTAACAGAGCAATAAATTTGGGAGCAAAGAGATTCAGCGTGCTTGGCTTCTCCATTTAATGCTCGAACTATGAAACACAAAGTAAGTCAAGTTATTGAGTCAAGTTATTGAATAACCGCCAGGTTGATCTTTGTTCTATATTAGTCTAGTACTGTCTAATCTCTCTGCGTTGGTGTAATAGTGTCAAATCTATCTATGTTAGACTAGGTCTGACAAATCCGTCTGCGTTCATACATAATAACGTCAAATCTATTTGTATTAATATAGTGCTGTAAAATCTGTAGAATTAGTGTAATAGTGTCAAATCTATCTATATTAGTCTAGTTCCGACAAACCTGCCTGCTTTAATATAATAAAATCTATGTGTATTAATATAGTGTTGTAAAATCTGTCAGCATTAGTGTAATAGTGTCAAATCTATCTATATTAGTCTAGTTCCGACAAACCTGCCTGCGTTAATATAATAAAATCTATGTGTATTAATATAGTGTTGTAAAATCTGTCTGAATTAGTGTAATAGCGTAATAACTATCTATTCTAGTTTGTGTTAATATAATAAAGTCCAATCTAACTGTATTAGTATACTGCCGTCAATTCCACCTTCATTACTGTAATAGTATCAAATCTATATATCTATTTATATTAGTTATATTTGTCTGCGTTAATATAATTAATAACTTCAAATATACCTGTATTAATATAGTTGTCAAATCAATGTGCATTAGTGTAATAGTGTCAAATCTATCTATCTATATTAGTCTAGTGCTGTCAATTCTGTCGTCGTTAATATACTAAGACGAAATCTATCTGTATTAGCCTACTGCGATCATATCTATCTGTGTTAGTATAGTGCTGTCACACTTGCTTACGTTAGTGTAATAGTGTCAAATCTATAAGCATTAATCTAGTATTGTGAAATCTTTCTGCGTTACTGTAATAGTATCAGATCTAACTGTATTAGTATAGTGGTGTTAATTCTGTCTGCGTAAGTGCAATAGTGTCAAATCTCTCGATACTAATCTAATGCTGATAAATCTTCCTGTATTAGTATAGCCAGTTCTATCTCTATTAATTAGTATAATACTGGAAAAACTGTCTGTATTATCTTAGTTTTCTTTGCCATTCACACTGTGTTATTATAATACTTTCAGTGTTTGTTACTATTATTAACGACAAACTGTATTATTTGTCATCCCAATAAATGTTTAAATAACTTCCAGGAACTTTTTTGTTTAGATGTCTCTTATTATATACTATGAATACGACAGAGAGAAAAATGCAACATTAAAAAAAGTAAATAAAATCTGTTCAAGAGACTCAAATGAAAGCTTAACTTACACGAAAAAGTTCCTTCACGTTTCGTTTATTTTGTTCAAGGAGCCAATAAGCAGTGTCTCGTTATCTTCCAATTACAGTTGGTTTAAATATCACGTGACACGTATTACTCGGATATTTTCAAACATACTTTATAAAAGTGATTCATATACATATATATAGATAGATAGATATACACTTAAAGATGAATATGTATAACAAAACGCGAATTGATCATTTATTTACCAAACCGTTCTTTATTTAACCGATTTCGTAGCATCGTAGGTTTCTTGCTCTCCGATATAAAAACTATTAAAACCTGAAAAATCTAAACATCTTTTTGAAAAATAATAAATTTAAGTTTAAACTTTCATCAAACATATAATTTTGTATTTTTAATTAAAAAACTCAGGCTAGAAAATAAAATATCTTATTACTAAAGTTTGAGGTTAAAATTTAATTAATATTAAAATATTTTTAACATTAACGGTAAAATTTCTATAATACAATACATAAAATTCACAGGCTACAGATATTATTGCTGAAAAATGTATTACTTACATAGTCCTGAATAACTTTAATGTTTCTTTGGAGTTATCCACAGTATACTTAAGGTACAGTTCAGACGTATATGAGATTTCATAAGTTTTATATAAATTTTAAACTTAATTGTATTAATTTTCAAAAAACAAAAAGTGTTACTTTTAGTTGTATTCTGGTTTTTATAGTTTTTATACTGAACAGTAACCTGTGATGCTATGAAACCGGTTAAATAGCAGAAGAGTTTGATAAAATATAACGGTTTGGTAAGAAAAAGAGAGAATTCGAGTTTTCTTATATTTATATAATATATGTACGATTTATTTATTTATTTCCATCTTTATTAAACATGCTAGGTTAATCATCATTACGAGTTTACTCCACATATTATTTCTTTATCTTTTACATCAAAAAATTAATTACAAAAAACTCCGCTTGAATAAGTTTTTTAACTACAATGTACCTTCATTATCACCTGTTTCTCCTTTTCTTTTGTTCCTTAATTAAACCAAATGTTGACTTTCAACCAGTAACAACAGTGATCTAAGCTCGTACACACATACTAAGCTTTGTCAGTACGGTGTTGACTCAAGCGGGGTGCCGTTCGTATAATACAATTGTTGACTAAATCTCTCATGTTAGGCAACAAAAATAACGTCTGCAGGTACAAAACACCGCCATGCCTGAAAGAAAAAGAGAATCGACTTGGTTCATCTGTTTATCTTTACGATACAGTTTGGCTAAAATGTTGCTACAAGTTAATATTTATATTAATATCTTTTTAGAATATCTTAGCAACTCTTACCAAGTGTGTTTATATGTATACATACATGTTTATATAGATATATATAGACATAATACCTGTCCTTCGAAAGCGCTCAGGTTATAGGGTATCGTATTTTTGGGTTAAATTGATTTCTTGAACCAACGTGTTAGTTTGTCTAAGGATATTTTCGGTACGTGATTACTTAACATTGGATTGACCTATAATCATTTTCTTATGGTGTGTAAATTATACGCTCAAATCCTTACTAACATATAATCCATTTATTCCATTAAAAAACTGTAATATACATATATTTCTGAGAAAACAGATCTGACCAGAAATGACTCTATAACTATTGGTCAGTTTAATAACGACAGAAAGTAATAACAATTTAACTGGAAGTTACATGAGGGTATTTCGATTCCAGGCACGATCTTCCTTCATTTTATGTAGATTATTTCATGCTTAAAATAAACCAGTTTATAGTTATAAACTGTCGCTTATTTTCCGAATAAAAGTGGTCGGTTTTACGTAGATATTGATGTTATGCAACTTTACAAAATGAGATCAAACATTACACAAAAAATTAATAAATACTCTCGTTCCAGCTAGAAATCAAATGAACGGCGATAGTCAGGCAGTTACTAAAACACACAATGGTTATTGATTTACAGAGAAGATACAAAATTATAAATGTAGATATAAGAGATGCCACGAAATAGTTAGGAGATTGTGGTTTCCAAAAACAGTGCTTTAAGAAGCTTATTGACTCATGTCATATCTGGGAAAGTTTTCGTTTTATTTCTAAATCAGTATTTATCACAAAACAAACGTGCATAAAAGTTGTTAATATTTTTAACGGCGCTTTTTTTCTTCTTTACAAGATATTAAATGTACACATGATAGTATATACGTGTGGTAATTTAATATTAAGTACTTCCCACTATTCAATATACATAGAAATCTAGTACGCTGAGTTTAATATTGAGTACAGAACGTAGCTGTTATCTTTTTAACATGACCGATGAGAACGTAAACGTAATAATTCCCAAGTAGTACTTACATGATTAACATTTCAGATGTATATGACGTTTCGTAAGTTAATAAGTTCGTCACTAGACGGCAGGTGTGTAGCTTGAGTAGTTCAACTTCCGGCCTCGTGAGGTTGTCAATAATAGTAGGAAGTTGGTTAGTCTAGAATGTTTCAATAAAAATAAGTTGTTGACAGGTTTACAAACAGCCTATACTAGTACAGTGGCAATATATCTATAACCAAGTAAACTGACGGTTATACTGTTGATATAGGAAACCAAACAAGTTTATTAACTGACGTATCATACATGCGGTTACAGCAAAAATGAATATATAAATAAAAATAAATAAAAAAGGAGGGTAACAGTATTATGGTAGCGTTAGCAACTTTGCTCATAACAAACAAATCTGTAGGATTTAAATATAATATCTATACTAATAGTTCTATAGGAATAAATACAATATCTATACTAATAGTTCTATAGGAATAAATACAATATCTATACTAATAGTTCTATAGGAATAAATATAATATCTATACTAATAGTTCTATAGGAATAAATACAATATCTATACTAATAGTTCTATAGGAATAAATATAATATCTATACTAATAGTTCTATAGGAATAAATTAAGCTGTGCTTTATCCGGAATAATTGAAAACAACAAATATATTTTAAAAAATTATATTTTGGGGGCATTTTTATTCACTTATATTCTTTATTTAATAATTATTTTTTGCAGTTTTCTAGGGAAGGCAGTAAAGTATTTATCTGTCAGTTTCTTTTACTATGTCCTGAGACCCTGGTCTTGACATTTTCAGTCTAAATGGTATCTTATGTAACAAAGGTTTAAACGGTCAGGTAAGAGACCTATAAGAATCAGAGAGAGAGGACAACCTGTCAGAAGTACCCGCCATCAACGCAGCTACTCTCATCCGGATAGCGGGATTGACTGTCACAGTTATAACAGTCTCACAACTGAAAGTGCGTCATAACGCGACTCGAATCGTGAATCTTCGTATCTGCAACCTGGCACGCTTACTTTAGACTACGCCTGGTCCTAAATAGTGTTAAAAACACGTGCATATTTTACACACACATTTCCAAACAAGCATAAACTATGGCAATATTTCCTTATTAACTGATGCTTGCACTGATAGTGTGAAGTGATACTGTCATTACCACGTTTACATAGAAGGCGTCATGTTAACAGATGGATATATTTTTATTTTACGGATCTTGGATAAATTATTTAAACAAACAGAAAAGCCAATAGGCTGTTTACCCACCAACACACATAACTGGTGAAAACAAATAAGTGATTAGTCCTTACCAGAACAAGTGAGTTGATTTCGAAGTCTGCGAAGTTGGCAAGCCCACGAGCTATTGAAATAAGAAGTTCAACTCGATCCTCAACGGGGTTTTCTAACAGTCTAACCAGGCCAGTCAAGTACGGTTGGAGTATACCCTAGGTTAAGGAAAACAGGACAGTTTCACCTGTTTTACTAACAGAATTGTCATATACATTTAAGTTTCTGAGTATGTGTGTAAATAAGCCGTATCTTTTAAACATCGCCCCAAAAAACTTCTTTGTTTGGATTCTAAACGACTTCTAGACTTCAAAACAACATGCTGGTGTGAACAACCAACTACGCCCTCAATTGTTTTCTTTGCTGAGGCAACATTACCTATATATGTATATTGCCCAGTTATATACAATGCTCGGGAACAAATAGAATGTTATTCACCGTAGCTAAATAAACTAAGTTTCAATGCATACCGGATTTTATGAAATTCAGAAATTGGAAATTTCGACCTAAACAGCACCTTATTTAGTCATCCTTTTATTCGGTTCAAAGAACCAGAAAAACCCGATGCAGTTCAACAGAGTTCACTCTCATATAATCGTTATTTCTTCCTTAAATATCTGTACACCCACATGTGATGTTTTTAAAACCAACCCGATTAAAAAATATATGTACAACTCTGTTTCCAGTTTCCTTCTTCAAACTTTAAGTACGTGAAGATTTATCTTCTTCTTTCTTCAGTTTAGGTTGCTAATGGACAAAATAACTTATTATTTCTAGTTTAATGGTTCATTTTGTTTTATATGCCATTAGGAGCAGTAACGATTACATGAGGGTTGAACTCTGTTAAGCAGTATCTTCGTATATAGCGTTCAGGTATATCACTCTTTAATTATGAACTTCTAACCACAGGGAGGACAGTCATTTAGGAGCACCCACCGTCACATCGAATAAAAGGATTGACTGCCATTTTCATAACTCGCCAACAGCGGAAAGTGCTGAGTAAGTTCAGGCGACATAACGGCTCGAACTTAGGACCTTTTGATCCGCAGTACCAGCCCATCAAGATTTAGGATTCTCTCACTTTACACAAATATAATGTTATTCCCCAAACAAAGCTAGCCAGGGATAAATGTATACAGCAATAGCCAAGGTTTAAGAACCTTTCTCTGTACACATCTGCGTACATATATATATACACACACAGCGTGGTCACAAGTAAATAGACACCACCTTTTCCGAAAAAAAAATAAAATTTTCAGTCATATTCACATGAATTGATATATTTATAATTTAATTAATATCTAGTAGATCTTCCTTTCGCTTCGTGGAGTTCGTTGATCCTTTGGGGCATCGTGAGAATCATCTCGTCAATTTTAGATTTTGGGATTTTCGCCCAGTCTTGCTTCAAAACTTGAAGTAGATCGCTCTTGAAGTTGGTTTTTTTGTTGTTTCTTGACTTGCCGGTCGAGTATAGCCCAGGGGTTTTCAATGGGGTTCATGTCAGGAGATTGGCTCGGCCAGGGCAACTTCTGGATACCATTTTCTTCCTGCTACTTTTGGGTGTTTCTAGCAGTGTGACACGGTGCTCCATCTTCCTGGAATAACGTTGTGTTACTGTCCACGAAACCCGAGGAATAAAGTGGCAAGAGCCCTTCCTCCAATATTTCGACGTATTTCGCAAAATTTGTGTTGCTAACGCACTCCACTAAGCTCGATCTCCCACCAACCCAAACAGTTCCCCAAAACTATCACGCTGAAACCACCATGCTTCACAGTTGGCTGCAATCTGTTGAGCCAAAATTCATGATGAGGCATTCTCCAGACCCATATCCTTCCACTGTCCGAAAATTGAGCGTATCTTGATTCGTCTGAGTGCAATGCGGTCTTCCAAAAGTCCAGAGGCTTGGTCATCATATCACCTGCCCACTTCTTTCGTCT